GACGTCATCACGGGATGGGAGGGATGTGGCCTGGGGAGGGATGAGGGGGACGAGAGGGATATATAGCCGGCCCCATATGGAAAATTGCATGCCTTTGTCCTTTGCAGCGTCATATCCGGCTGTGGAAGCAAACTTGAAAGTGTACCTCCAACTGAACAGGTAAGAGTCGGGTCTTGATGAGGGAGACGGAATACTTGGCTTTTATGGTATAAACGATGTATATGTATACACACACACACACATACATATATATAAATGCATATATATATTGCAGCATTGAGGATCATCTAGCGATACAAAAGCTGAGTTTTATCAGTCTTGAAAACTTGTGGATCGGGGCGATGTTTGTGTGTATGTGTGTAGAAGTGGCACCAAGACGCCTCTGTCGTGTCCCCAAACTTAAGGGGCTTGAGAGGAGACAGGGGAGACTCGAACCCGACACCTGTTTTCTGTTCTAGCTCAGACGAGCCTCGTGTTACTAGCGGAGCGTTTGGAACAACCTGCTGTTTTGAGAGCCTGGGAGCGCTCAGGCGCACCGGTGCCTAATGGACCTGGATTGGTTTCTACGGATCCCAAATTTACTTTGCGGGAGGGGGATTCAGCCGCAAGTTCTAACCAGCTGTACTGAATACAGTGACCATTGATCTGCATTTATTTATTTGCTTCATTGTCTATTGGATTTATATGGCCTCCCATCTCTAATTCATGACTTTGGGCGGCTAGCAATATTCAAAATAATAAAAAGTATGCCGTAAACAACACGCAGCCGCCGAGATTCGGGAATTGAAATTCAAGTGCTCTTCCTTCTATAGGGAAAAAAAAACCTCGGCTTTAATCCCACCTACTGGATTTCGGACAACAGATCCCGATTATTATTTTTTCCCCTGTCCCTGGGTTTCTTTTCTTTTTTTTTCTTTTTTTTTCTTTTGTTTACTTTTTTTTTCTTTTAAGCGGATCCTGCCATAGCGCGAGAATAATGCTAGGAAGAAGAAGAAGAAAACCTTTCCCTTCCTTTCCTTTCCTCCTTCCTTCCCTTCCTGAGTAAGAAATGGCAGGTGTACGATATTTTTTCCCTGGGGAACCGTGCGGTGGACAATTGCATTACGCCCTGGCTCACCGCTCTCTTCTCTTTCGCCCATGGAAGAGACAGCTGCCCTTCCCTTTCTTGATCTGGGCGAGGGTTGGGTGGCGTCCTGAAGTTTTGATGGCGCGCGCTAGTTTTGTAGGAAGCCCCCCTCCCCTTTTGCTCTAAAGATGGGGGGGAGGGGGCGAGTTTCGGTTGAAGGGCACGGGAAAAAAAACCCCACAGGGTGTCCCCGCCCTCTTGTCGTCACCCCCACCTAAGCCCAGCCCGAAATCATGCATGAATCACAGGGGGAAAACCTTTGTTCTCTGGAGTGTAGCCACTCGGTGACCGCGTGGTTCCTTTTGCCTGGAAAGTTGGGTAGATGAACTGGTGAGATCGGGGTGATGGTTGGCAAAGGTTCCCTTTCCTCTCTGTCAACAATTATTTCCTTCCCGCCCTAAAAAAATGATGCCTAAAGCTAAGGGTGAAATTTGGAGTGTTCCTTTAGTTGCCTCCACCACACAAGGCACAAAAAGGCACTTGGGATAACTTAACTTATTCTGAGTAAGTCGGGGGAAAACAAAGGCCAGGCTCAATCAGCTACCTGCTGTATTTGCACAACCTATTGGGGAAACTATGTCAGGTAGTTTTGTTTTTTTTTTGAAAAAGGTTTTAATTGAGTGAATTCTGGCTAAATGCATCTTGCAACTGCGTTCCCCCGGGCCTGTTTCAAGTGAACTGTAGACCTGGCTTCAGAAAGTGAATGTCTTTCTGAGACAAGTTGGGGAGGAATGCAAAATAAAACTTCAGGGAACAAATGCTGTGATTCTTCTGAAATATTTCAGACTCCTAATCAAAGAATCCAGAGATCTGTTTTGCAGTTATTTATTTATTTAGCGGATGGCATATCCTACATGGACTAGCAATGTATGTTAACGTCTCATCTAGATTAGTAAAACTTTTGTCAGTTTTGCAGTTTCTCTGGTTCCTAGAAATGGGGTCAGCTGGGATTACAAAAGAGAGGAGGCATAAGGTCTTATATGTTATACAGAAAAATTGCAACAGGTGAATTCCTATACATTTGTAGCTTTAAGCAATGGCACACCTGTCTGAATAGCCATCCTGCCTCTGAACCCTGAGCTAGATGGAAGACTTGGCCCAGTACCTCTGTATAGCAGTAACTTTCTTCCCATCAGAAATATCATAGCCCCTCCTAACTGAACTCGACTTTCTTCTTGAACAAAGGAGGGTGACCATCTCTCTTTGTTACAAGCAATGGCTATGGAAGATGATTCTGACCAGGACTAGTTAAAACCAACTGACATGGTTTAATCTGTTGAATGAGCTTTAACCAATGAATGACATCCCATTCTACTTTTGAATTTATCTTTTGAATCTTTTAACAATTGTCTTTGCTGATAGATACGATGTGGAACTGATCCTGCTACCATGATGTAGAACAGCGGTTCTCAACCTGTGGGTCGCGACCCCTTTGGGTGTCAAACGACGCTTTCACAGGGGTCGCCTAAGACCATCAGAAAACACATATTTCCGATGGTCTTAGGAACCAAGACACTAGTGAGAATTTCTGCTCAAGGCTATTTCCGCCAGCCAGCTCGGGCAGACAGGAAAGCAGCTGCCTCAGCAGCATGGCGGGGCTGCGCTACCCATCGCAGAGCAGCTACTGCCGCGTCGCCATGACTATGAACCTCCTGCTCGGCGTCTTTCAGGTCCTCTTGCCTGGCTTCTGTCTGGGAGAAGCGCAGGGCCAAGGTAAAAAAAAAAAGGCTGGCGAAATACTCCCGAGGGGTAGCGTCGATCTGTAGCGGGAGGTGAAGGGGGCGGGTGGGTGGGTGGGGGTCGACCAGAAGGGAACTGGGTCTGATAAGGGCAAAAGTTGAGTGAGGTTTTCCCCCTCGCCCCTCTCTCCGCCTCCCTTTGTGCAGCGGCGTCTCTGGCTGCAGCCTTCCCAGTCGCCGAGAAAGGGGGAAAAAAGAGCCATGAGCAAGTTCCCCTTTCTGCTTTGTTGCTTAAAGCTTTTTTTTTTAAATGACCGCTCGTTCAGAACTCCTCGGGGCTTGTTTGCACGAGCTTGTGGAAGATCAGTAAATAAAGGGGTGGGGGAGTCAAACCGTCCAAGGCGTTTGCACCCTGAACGTGTGGACGCTGCTTTCATGATTTGCCACCACCACCCCCTCTCTTCCCGCCCTGCTTTAGCAATGTGCTGCTGCTGCTCCTGCTGCTGCTGGCTGAGCTGAGCTGCGGCGCCGAGCCGGTCCCCACGCCTCCTGGTTGCCCGGCCGCGCTCCACCCCTGGCCGCACTCCGCGCCACGCCGGAGCCTCCCCCGCACCGCCCGGCCCGCCTCCCTCACCGTTGGAGGGCATCTATGTGTGTCTCCAGACCTTACTGGACTACCATCCCCAGCAGCCCTAAAAAGCACTGTGGAAGAGTGGGGAATGCTGGGAGTTGCAGCATCACCATCTGGAAAAACATGACTCTCCAAAGATCCTTCCTTCCTTCCTTCCTTCCTTCCTTCCTTCCATCCATCCATCTCCTTCCCTT